GGGTTAGACACTGGATTTTTGGAAAAGTAAAAATATTTTTTACCAAATAGTGGAGGATATTAAAAGTTCGACCAGACCGAACTTAATATTTTCTTACTTCTTTTTATTATATGTTTATATTTGTAAAACTAATGGTATTACAGCATTTGCAATTGGATACTACTGTTTATGTGATAATCTCTTTAATAAGGAAAGACAAATTGCAATCGCTAATTAAAATGCGTTTTCCTCACAATTGATTGATGTTTTAAAATGTGCCGTATTTTGAGTATTGGAGTGCCAACATTATTGATGTATGTAATTAGTTATCGAAATATAGCAATGTATACGAGAGTTTAACTTTTCACTTTTTTTTGTACGCTTGTAAACAATAAAATGAGCAGTCACTGGAGTAATTTTAACAGCTGTCGGACGAGTGGTTTAGAAATGACAACAGTCTGAAGTTGGTTGTAGTTTTTTCATCTCATCATCATACTGAATGGGTGTGTGTCTGTCTGTTGTAATAACTCTAGAGTCCAAATGGATTGTGATATGAAGTTAGTTTTGTAGGTAGATCGAGTTCACAAAATAAACTAAATCGGTCCACGATATTCGGCAATTTTGGCCACATTTTCTAACTGGGTTTTTTGAAGTTCGGGATTAAGTGCTCGTAATGGGTTCTTTCTGTTGTGGCAAGAGGAAATTATAAAAAGGACTTACTTAAGAACTCTGAATACATAGTTCGAAAATAATAAAATGTCTTTTAAATTTACTAACGTGTATGCATTAAAGTAAAATGTTGAAGGTCAATATTGAAAAGTAAATTAACTATTTTATCTTCATTACACTCCTTTACTGCACCATACAATTTTTCGATGCGAATGTATCATACAATGACATAATAAACTTTGTCACTGCCTTTATGTTATAACTCAATATCGTATTTATTGTGAAATAAATTGAAAAATAAATTTTCCATTGATTTCTTACTTTGGTCAGAACATCGTATAGATGTTTCCCTTATTCCAATGTAGAATTTTCTAACAATCAATATGTGACGGACTGAGATGAAAGTAATCTCATTTTGAAAGGAAGTCTTAAGGTATTGTGTTTCGATTTTGTCATATGGAATCAAGCAGCATACTGGAAATGTAATTCTTGAGAAATATTAAATGTTAAATTACATTATACTAACGAACATTTCAATTTTAATCCTGAAACTACAAGAGAATAAGTTAGATATTTTTACAAAGCTACAATATTATTTTTTGAAAGTAAAATAATAAGATTTTGTGATTTTGGGAGCTGTAGCTATATATAAACCATAATACTTTTACCACTATGTGGTATATGGTATAAAAAAACGTTCACAAAATGCTTACTCCCCCAACCTAGAAATATTTTTAGAATTCCTGAGAAATTAAAGAACTGAGTTGGCTATAGTTTGGTATTGATGTGCCATGTATTACCTTTTCACAATACATGATGAAAATGGCTCACTACAAAAAAACCCACCTTACCTTATTAAAAAACCCCATGTAACCTCCTCATTTTAAGTAAATAGTGTGGATATTTTTCTTAATTTGAATTTTATGGTCTGAATCCCAAGTAAGAAGCTTAGTGCAGCAGCAGCGAAATTGAACCCAATGTTGATATCGTTACTACAAATAATAGAAGCAAGATTATAGATGTAGTGAGTAACCGCATTACTAACCCCACTACAAATGACAACATTTGGAGATCATAAATGCCTCGAATAACCCGAAGAGTAATGTGAGCACTTTGTTTTTTTAAAATTACAATTCAAAGTATAGGAACCATAGGAAAATATGTTTTTGGAAATGAGTTTAATTTTGTAACATTTTGGCATTTGATACATATATTTTGAATTAATCGTTTCGAAATTCGAAAGAATGCATATATAATTTGAAAAAGATAATATCTACAATTTTTAAAAATATACGGCCTAAAATTATTTTAAAGAATTTGGAAAGGATATTGCTTTGATTTACAACAAGGATATCGCAGATAATTTTGAAAGGATATCGGGTGAAATTTTGTTTATTTATTTTTGTTTGGTCTTAGATTTGGTCTTTTAATAATTTCAAGAATTATGTCAAAAGGATATTGGCTGTTTATCATTTAAACGAGAAGCATTTCATCATTACGGAACCCCCAACAATTTGTTAATCAAGAATTTAAAGATCCATCCTTCAAGTGCCTTATGAATGGGACGCTGTAAACAGTGAGTATTAAATGAAATGCATATTTAAAAAAACAAAAATCGTGAGGGCAGATATATTCAAAACAAAGGCAGCATAGTTTGGTGCGTTAATCGACTTTGGGAAGACATACAATACCTGGTACTTCTTTGTCTAAGAGATATGATCTCTCAAAGATTCCTAGCCCAATAATTTTTGGGACTACTGTGGCTGTATATTCTCAAATCCTGTGATTTTTGTGAACAAAATCTAGAAGTTAATTATTCTACACTAATGTGCCTAAGGTATTATAGAGGCAGTATTGACCAAGAATACTCATTTGATACCCGTAAAGAACCTGACAAAATATAAAAGCAGACAAAAACCTGCCCGAGAATAAAACACTAGGTTTATAATGTTGTCCCAGCACCTAACATTATTGGGAAATTGTCAAATAGAAACTTGATCCTTGACCCACCATCTAGAGTATCGATCTTCATATCTCGGCGAACTGAGACGATCTAGCTATGTGTGTCCGACCGTCTGGCCATATTAATTTATAAAGTTTGATTTTGTTGGATAACTATTTAGGGGATGAAATTGTGCTAAAATTTAAATATTCCCGATTTTTCAGTCGCTCCACAGGTCAAAATTATAGAACGATCGGCACATAATTTACCACGTTGTTAGAGTTTAGAACAGGACAGAAACATGACTTTTTGAATGGATAATCACTTTTTAGTGAAAAACACCAAAACGTCCATTCAACCGCTCACTTCCTAAAAAAATCACAGACACATGCAAAAGGTGCTGATTTCATAAAGAAATAAAGTCAGATATAGGAAATGTAGAAAAATAAATATACATGAATTTAAATTTTAAAATATCGTTTGAAATTCCCTTTAGAACGACAAATGGCTTAAATATTGGGTATTTCCACTTATTTTTCATAGTCTAGTGGATTCGGTCAAACACCAAGATAACCCTTACCGAGTATTCAATGGGCCATACTTGAAAAAATCATCTAGCGAACTAAGTTTTCTGGAAAATATTTTTTCAGATCTTTGAGGATGAACGTAGGTAAATAATAAAGGCAGAATGAAGTGGAAAACTAATACATAACTTATATTCCTATTAATTGAAAATTAGAAAATGGGCATTGATACTAGGAATATATTTTAAGACATTAGATTTTGTGATATCAATGTCTAGCAGGATTCGTTCATTCTATTTAAAAAGGGTTTTAGGAATACAGAACCTCAACCGAAAATTTTAATATTACACGGTCGGTCTTGGTGAATTGCTCATTTGTTTATTGGACAATCTGTGTTCGATTTTATTTTTATACCTTCCACCATAGTAATGAAATATAACCTCCATATTACGTTTGCCATTTCGTTTGTAATACCTCGAAATATACATTTTAGACCCGACAAAGTATTGAAAATTGACATCTGGTATTGAAAATGGATGATGTAAGTCCACGTTTTGGTATAGCCCCCATATAATGGTACCTCCCTTTATCTTAAATAGTACTACAACTTATGGCAGGTCCACGTCTTCGTATAGCCCCCATATGAGAGTACCTACCCAATACTCCATATTTTCATGATTTGTGACACATTATTCACCGTAATTGTAACAAATATCGTATTTGAAGTTAGTAATTGGCACTGCAGCCTATGACAAAAAAAAAATTTCGTATTCAAGTCCACGTCTTCATATAGTCCCGATATAACGGTTTTCATTTAAGATGTAGTTTTCGGATTTTTTTGAAATTATTTAAGTTCCTTCGAAATGGTGGAGGGTATTAAAAGTTCGTACTTCATTGAGATTTATTTACATAAGTTGTATACCATGGTGCGGAAAGAGAAGTCCTGCTAACACTGACCATTATTGTTTTTGTTATGTCATAAAGAATTTACTTAGAAACTCGTTGTGGATTTTCATTTTCAACTTTCTTATCCCTGGTCTCTTTTCATTTGCACTTCGTTTATTTAAAGCCAATGGCATTTGACAGTAATAGAAGCTGTGTGAAACTATATATTTGACTTCTTAGAAAAACCTCGTGACAACATTGTTGTCAATATAAAATAAACGCTATGCGTCGAGGTTAGGAATATTACCAAAGATATCTAGGTGTAGTATCTAAGTTTGCATTGTTGTCTATTAAAAAAAAAGAATATGGAAAAATTGCACATTTTAGTCATCAGTATAAATTGCCAAGTTTTTAATGTTTAGAAAATTCTTGAAATTATAAAACTTGAGTAGGTCGATCGGTTTCAGGTACAGAATATTTTGACGATTTTAGTCATATTTTTCAACGAAAGTGTTTAAAATTTGTTTTTTATTTGTCTCAATACAAACCACAGCAGCTGATAATTATTTGCATTGCTTCTCGTTTTACTGTAGCCATAATATAATGGCATATTCCGATTTTCGGCATTCCGATGATTTTAGCCACTGTTTCCAATGTGTTAGTTAAATGTTTAGTATTTTGAATTCGCAATGGGTTCTATCTTCTATGACAGAATATACAGGCATGTCACAGAATGTAAAATCGTTCAAGAGTGAAAACGAAAACGGTTTTAGCTTCTCTAAAAAACGGAAAACGCAAAAATTTTGCGTTTTGATATCACTTTCAAAAAGCAGGGTGAAATTGAAATGTTTAGTGATTTTAACGTAAAAAAATAAACAGAAGACACATACATTTAACAGAAAATATTGTATTAACCAAATTCTCTTAGAATGAACATGTTTTTGGAATTTATTTTACAAAAATCTATTATTTTTCTAATCCATGATGAAAACGCAAAAAAATATGCAGAAATGAACGGCAGACTTGTATTGTTGAATTATTGCCATATGTGTTGAAGAAGAAGGTGTAGAAATGTACAACTGACAGACCAAAAAGCAAGAAAGGGGAAAAACAAAAAAACAATTAATTGTTTGGTTTGAGACAGAGCGCTTCAGTCAATCGGGCAAAAGTACAATTTCGACTTTCTTTTTTCTTCGGAAGACATTCTTAATTTGATCCAATGTGGACAAATTTCAGCTTCAATTGCATTAATAACTCTCCACATAATTGTAGAAACTGTACTTCTCCCAAGGCTTAGCTCCACATCTCTACCTATAACTCCTTGAAATGCACCCGTAGCCAAAAAACTAAGCGTTGTTGCAAGCTGGATAATAGCCGGTATATTGGAACGTTTGAGGTGGGGAGAAATTTTTTCCAAAACTAAAACAAAAGCTTCTTTATTTAGCCGATAATAAGTTATAAATCTGTAGAAATAAATTATTATTAAAATAAATTTGAAAATAACTCATTGCTGGTGGATCTTTACTCTGCATTTGAGTGAGATAAAGGATCTGATGCGTTCCTCAATGTCCGGCGACGAATTTTTTCAGTAGACCGCTGATTTATTTCTTTATCCATTACAGCAAGTATTGAAGCCCCTAGCATTTTTACTTTTGGTGTTTATATTATAAAAAACAATTTAACCTCCTTTTTTAATTGTCAATAATTTGTTTACGACTTTTTTTTCATGGAGTTACCATATTTTTATTTCAAAAATGTGAAATGATTTTTTTTCCGGATTAGTCAAAACGTACGAGTGCTGAAGAAGCAAAAGCAAATCGTAACGATTTGGAAAAGGTGAAATAAATCGATTTCGTAAAACTTCTGTGACATGCCTGATAAATAAATCTATGTAGGTCCACATTTTGGTAGAGCTACCATATAACGGTACAGTCCACATTATACTAATTTTAAGACTTTGACCGATTTAAATGATATTTTCATTCGAATAAAACTCAAATAAATCCTGATACATTAGTTTGTCAGTTCGAAAGCAGGAACATTTTTTTGTGGTCTTGATGTAAATTGATTTTATACGGTTTGGCGTGAATATTCTCTCATTTGGAACTTCGAGTAAATAATTTGTTCAGATTAGTGGAGCTATACCTCACAGTCGCAGTCTTAGGCAATTGAGTTGGTCTGCAATTACATGCACCACATCCTGATCTCAAAAAATTAAATTCCCAAAAAAAAAAAAAAAAAAAAAAAAAACAATCAAAATGTGGACCATTTCGATAGCATTCCAAATTTGGAAGTCCCATCGTTTTTAATGTAAATTATTTAACTTTTTTTAATTTTCTGGAAGCTTGTGAAATCAAGTCTTGTTTCTAAAATATGACATCTTGACATATATACCACTTATTCTGCGAAAACGATGTAGTCATATGATCTACTAAAAAAACAGTAAGGAAAGGTCAAAAGTCAGGCGGACCGATTATATGATACCCTACACAACTACTCATATTTAGTAAAGCTCTCGTAAAAAAGGTTAATATTGGGCATTTCTGAGCTCTATGAGGTATTTGGTACAAAATATTATTATTGAAGAGTGGGAAATTTTTAACACCAAATCGGTTGAAGCATATATATGGGTGTAAATTTGAAATACTTGCTTCAACGCCAAATTCGGTTGGAAGTGCAAAAACTTACTCCATTTAGGGTAATATTAGCCATTTCGTGCACAACAAACCTGAAATCGGATATTGATATATATGGAAGCTATATCCAAGTCTTAAACGGTCTGAATAAAATTGAAAACATTTATTTCTTGGCTGTATTTGATATGTAACACCAAATATTATTCTTATATCGTGCATTTTACGAATTTGAGGGACTTTAACACAAACAAAACATGCATGGGAACTATAGCTATATCTGAACCGATTTTCTTCAAATTTGATGTATTTACTTCTTGGCTGAGCTCGGTCGCTTTTTCCAAAATTCAGGACATTTGGTGCTCAAATTACCCAAAATCGGCCGAAGATATATATGGGAGCTATATCCAAATCTGAACCGATCTTGATAAAATTGGATACACTTATTTCAGAGTTGTATCTGATATCTGGAATTTTTGTGGAATGCATATTACGTTTGTGAGAGACTTTAAACCCCAAATCGGATGAATCATATATATGGGAGCTATAGCTGTATCTGAACCGATTTTCTCCACATTTGATTTACTTGCTTCTAGACTGAATTTGGTGGAATGTACTAAAATACAGGTCATTTTGCCATTTGTTGCACAATTAATCCGAAATCGGTTGAAGATATATGGGAGCTATATCTAAATCTAATCCGATTATCACCAATTTCAATATGGTTAGTCCTTGGGCCAAACAAATATTCTTTGCAAAATTTCATCTTAATCGGATTATAAATGCGACCTGCATTTTTTCACAAGATTACATGGATGGACGGACGGACGGACTGACTGACATGCATAAATCGATTAATAAAGTGATTCTATGAAGATCCTCAAAAGCAACTATGAGCCTATATCGTTTCCTTCACCCTGTTACAAACAAATGCACAAAGACATAGTACCTTACCAGTATGAGGTATAGGGTATAAATGTCGTCTTATTTTTCTATTTCTTGTCTAAAAATAACTACATTTGTCGTGTAATATTCCCTTTGTAATATAATGGATTATTAATGATTTTTTTGCTGCTTTTATCCCTTACTTGATTCAAAAACTTCGTTAACGTCTACCAATTTGCTGAGCATTTGACCGGATGCCATTCCTTTCACAATTCTCCGCTTCGTAACAAATATTTTTGGATAATTTTGTTTTCAATTGCGAACTGAGCTCTTCACTTTATCTATGATGTAAATTTTGATAATATTAATTCTTTATCAAAATTAGATTCATGTTTACTTAAATTTTTGCCTAGTTCGAGCTATTTTAAACACTTTCGTTTACACTTCTTGTTTATGATTTGTTACTGTTTTTAATGTTTACTTAGATTTTTGCCTAGCTCGAGCTGTTTTAAACACTTCTTGCTTATGAATTGTTAATATTTTTTTCAACTCATAAACAAGAAGTGTACGGGGAAGTGTTTAAAATTACTCGAATCAGGCAAAAAAACTAAATGAAAATGTATCTGATTTTGATGATGGAGTAATATTATCAAAAATTAAATCGTAGCAAAAGTTAAGTGCCTTAAACTTAGTTCGCGATTATTATTATACAAAATAAAATAGAAATAAAATAGAAAAACATAAAATAAATAAAAATAGAAAAACATAGGCATCATTTGTACCAGAAATGCTCTGGGGCAACAATTTTGTTGCTGAACATTTGAACAGTTACGTTCCCAATTAAATATTTGCTGTCCATAATCTGCCACGTGTAACAAGTTGCAACTTTTGCTCATAAAATACCGGAAACGGTTTTTTCATTAAACTACTCAATGGCAATATTTGTTTTGTTCATATTGCTTGAAAACATCTATAGTTTCCGGCAATAAATTTTGTGGATGTAAGTACAAAAAAGGTATAGAATTTGAGTGGTTTGTAATATATAGAAAAGATTTAACAAAATCTTAAATGATCGATTTTAGTAAGTAAAAGTTTTCTGTGAACATCTTAAAACTTAGAACTTCTTAGGCAGTAAATAAGCTGGGAAAAAATGAATCCGATAAGTAGGGGTACTTAAAAAATATAAGGAAATAATAACTATCATATTTAGTATGTTATACTTCACATAAATGCTCATTATAATTTGTTCTTTGACGATTCGCACGTCTTTGTAATGATTTTCTTCGATAGCCGCACATCCTTCGTTTTGTATAACTATATAGCTTCCAAATTTTTACAACGTAAACGACGAATTCCACTAAAAACAAATAAATATCATATTTCTGTTTCTGTTTCTGTTAACTCGTTTCAATTAACTCGTACAGTTACGCCTTGTGGCTTTTGATTTATGCGTGTTTTTTGTATTTATGACGAATTGAAGAATCAACAAGATTGGTAACCACTGAGACAATTCAAAATTTTCCCTTCTTCTATATGAGGCTTATCGTAAATTCTGTGAAGTGTAACAGAACATAAATGAAATATATTGGATGTGTAATCTTAGCTAAAAAATAGCGTATGGAAATAGCAACAGATAGGATATGCGAATTATTATCATAGCTAAAAATAAATCCTTTTATATAAAACGAAATGATTCGTTTTCTACGATATTTATGCCCTCCATAATTATGTAAATGGTATATTAAATTAATTGCGGAAATAATAATTTCATTGCAGAGACATTTCAAACTAAAAAAAGAAATTTTCAACTGCACTGGCTTTCCAAGTTAAATTAATTATATACATATTATATGTATACCCACACTTCCATGTTTAACCCAATCGCTGCGACGGAAATAATCTGCGGGCCAAATTTGTAGGCGTGAAACTTTAAATAAAAAAAATTGTAAAGCAACTGCCTCACCAGCCATTGATTTAATGAGACCCATTTACTACACTCAATACTAAACTCTAATTTTGATCTTATATACATATGTAATAATCACTTTTAAATATGCCCACGCATCCTGTAAAAAATAGCATGACACTTCAGGTTTTGTATATTGAATGAAAATAAATTCTAGTTTTCTCTAGTTCATATTCAATGGCATTTTCATTGTGATATTCACATTATTTTATCCAAATATTTCGATTTATTTTTTTAACCTATAGTTTAATGAAATATTAAATTTCCCCTTTTAAAACATCAAACGTGTTTGCGCCATTTCCCTAGATAGCTGGTAATATCGATGAATAATAGTAAAACAAAAACACCTTTTAACAATGCTTCAAAATTAAGCTGATAGGTTTGACATACTTCGTAATTGGGTTGGATGACATTTTCACAACCATTCTTTTTTTTGTGATATTAATTACGTTATTGAATAGTAGACAATAGGGCGTATGACCTATATTATTGCATCGTAGAAAGAATACGTCGTATGCATTGAGTTAGGTGGGGATAAACATTTAAATACTAATCATATACCAAATAATAAGAACATTGTATTACAGATTAAATTTAAAACATATTTTGTATAATTCAATTCAAACTTATTGAGCTTTTTTTCTTTTTAAAAACATTGCCTTTTTAGATAGAAGATAATATGATGTTTTTTATACCCTCCACCATAGTATGCAGGGTATATTAAGTTTGTCATTCCATTTGTAACACCTTGAAATATACAATTTAGACCCCACAAAGTATATATATTCTTGATCAGCATAAAATTCTATGTCGATTTAGCAATGTCCGTCCGTTTATCCGTCTGTGGAAATCACTCTAGCTTCCGAACGAAATGAAGTAGGTTGATAAAATTTTGATCAAATGTGTATTATGTCTGCAGGACTTTTGGTATTGGAAATGGGCCATGTAGGTCCACATCTTCGTATAGCCCCCATATAACGGTACCTCCCGATATTCGGTATTTTGATGATTTTAGCGACATTGTTTACGGGAATAGTAAATTCAAATTTGGTACTTGAAGTTCGTAATGGATACTACAGCCTATGACAGAAAATTGTCTGTGCAGGTCCACGTCTTCGTACAGCCCCCATATAACGGTACCTCCTTTTATTCGGTTTTC